ACAGGCACCGCCTTTTTTTTTTTTTAAGAGTCTCACTTTATTGCTGTTGGTAGATGCTGTGGCACCACAGGTCACAGCAAGCTTAGGCGATTCTCTTGCCTCAGCCTCCTGAGTAGCTGGGACTACAGGTGCCCACCACAATACTCAGCTATTTTTTGTTGCAGTTTGGCTGGGGCTGACTTTAAACCCGCCACCCTCGGTATATGGGGCTGGTGCCCTACCCACTGAACAACAGGCTCAGCCTAAGCTTCAACTTCTTAATTCTTTTGATTATTTAAGGTACTCTTACATTGAAGTATCTTGCTTGGAAGATATGTGAATAGCAATGTGTTGATTGATCACTATTTTGTATTGATTCCTTTTTCTAGAATAAATTTTGAAGCCATATTTAAATCTAAGAAATGTCACCTAGGCTTTTCCACCCAATTCTTTGGGTGTAGGTGGTTGGGGAGGGTGTCATTACTTATTTTTTTAGGCTTATAAAATGATTTATAACCAGATATAAATACAGGGTTTTTTTTCCTTTTTTTGTAGGTAAAATACATTACAGAGAAAAGTGAAGAGATTGCTCAGATTAACCTAGAACGAAAGGCAAAGAAGAAAAAGAAGTTAGAGGATGAAAACAAAAATGTAAATGAGCCAGCAGAGGCTGGAGCAGAAGAAAATGAGGATTAAACTCTCTCAACACATGGAAAATGCAGTTTTTAGCAGGTAGAGTCACCTAGAAATGTGTATTGTCACAAAAAGAATTTTGAAGGGATAAATAGAAATTAAAAGATAAAAGGCCAGGCAGCTTTTTTGTCCTATCTTCTCTAAGTGATTAACTGCTAAATCTAGTTTAAAAGAGAACTGGAAATTCTTAAGCAAAATCCTCCCAAGCCCACACAAAAGGCATGTGTTTGAAGGATATGTGCTGGAAGTTTTGTCTATTTCAATTAAAAAAAATTATGCTGGCAATTAACATGGTTGACATTTTCAAGCAAAAATTACAGTTACTTACAATTTTTTCTTCATTCTTTGACAAAATTTTCTGGGTTAAATGACAATCTCTGAAAGAGGAATAAAGCTATATGTATTTAGCTCTTCTGATTACTAATGTTTTTAATACATGCCACCTGTGATCACCAGATAAAAGGATGTATGTCTAGGAATGGTCTTTTTAGTTTTTTTTAGAGACAGTCACCCTGGGTACAGTGCTGTGGTGTCATAACTCACAGCAACCTCGAACTCCTGGGCTCAAGTGATCCTCCTGCCTCAGCCTCCAGTATAGCTGGGACCATAGACACCTGCCGCAATGCCTGGCTAGTTTTTCTATTTTTAGTAGAGACGGGGTCTTGCGCTGGCTCAGGCTGGTCTCCAGTTCCTGAGTTCATGAGCCACCATACCTGCCTAGTCCTTTTTACTTTTTAGAGATGATTTTCTCCGAAAACACAGTTTATATGACTTTTCTCTGGCTACTTTGTGATTATTTTTGGGTGATAAGCCAGAAGTTTGGCTAAAGGGGAAAATCTGGGACTAGTATTCCAGAACGCTTTCATATGTTGTCCTCTGTTTTAATAGTTGACGAGAGATGATGCTCCAGGGGTGCAATTCTTCTGTCTTCTTGTGTCTTTGGAGTTTCCAGAGGTCCAAGTGTACCTTTCCCTTGTGGGGCATTAGGGTAAAGAAAAGGACAGGCATTTACAGAGGCTGTTCCTTGGGCCTCACACTGCCCTGGTGGCTCTGTATATTACCTCATTGGATCTTCATGACTGCCAGTAGATCTGACTCTCACCATTTTCCTGATGAGCCAACTGAGCTTGATGAGGTTAACCAGATGCCCAGGATCACCAGGCTATTGATCAGTAGAGACAGCATTCACATTTGGGGCTGCTGACTCTAGAGTGGGCAAGAGGAAAAAGGGCATGTATTTTGGATAGAATTTATACCATCCATGCTCTGATATGATCAGCAAAAGATACTCCAAAGCCTTACAGTCAATGGGAAGTGCTAAGCAATGGTCATGGTAAAGCACTTAATTAATTTATTGGCTCAGTGCCTGTGGCTCAAGTGGCTAAGGCATCAGCCACATACACCTAAGGTGGTGGGTTTGAATCCAGCCCAGGCCCACCAAACAACAATGATGGCTGCAACCAAAAAAAAATAGCCAGGCATTGTGGCGGATGCCTGTGGTTCCAGCTACTTGGGAGGTGGAGGCAGGAGACTTCCTTGAGCCCAGGAGTTGGAGGTTGCTATGATGCCATGGCACTCTACCCAGGAGGACAGCTTGAGGCTCTGTCTCAAAAAAAAAAAATTTAATTTATTTCAGAAGCAACAGAGCCATAGTTTATTAGAAGATAGGAAAGCTTCCAACACAATGGCATGGGTCCTGATTGGGTTGTACTAAAGCACTGAATTTAAACTTTACACTTTGAGGTTTATAAATAACTAACCATTTGTGGGTGTGGTGGCTCACGCCTGTAATCCCAGCACTTGGGAGGCCAAGACAGGTGGATTGCTGAGCAAGAGTGAGACCCCATCTCAAAAAAATAGCTGGGCGTTGGTGGCAGGTGCCTGTAGTCCTAAGTACTCAGGTGTCTGAGATAAGCATTAAGTAATCACTTAAGGCCAAGCATTTGAGGATGCTGTGAGCTGGGACAGCACAGCACTTTACTCAGGGTGACATAGTGAGACTCTGTCTCAAAAAAAAAAAAAAAGTGCCTGTAGCTCAGTGGCTTTGGCGCCAGCTCCAGCCACATACACCAGGCTTGTAGGTTTGAGTGCAGCCTGGGCCTGCCAAACAACAATGACAACTACAACAAAAAAATAGCCAGGCATTTTGGCGGGTGCCTATAGTCCCAGCTACTTGGGAGGGCTGAGGCAAGAGAATCGCGTAAGCCCAAGAGTTTGAGGTTGCTGTGAGCTGAGACTCCATAGCACTCTATTGAGGGCGACATAGTGAGACTCTGTCTCAAAACAAAAAAACTAATCATTTGATCTCATGTTAATTACAATATCTGTGTATCATAGTTGTGAAAGAAAAAATCATAAAGCCTTCCATTCTTATAGTACATTCAGCCAAGGACCCATCTGTTAGCAGTTTCATTTTTGGATAAGCTCCCTTTAAATTCACAAAGAAGAGTTTAGGGAATAGAGGCTACGGACTTGCCAAAGGTTGACAGATCTAGATTTGCATTTTGGGTTTCAACTCTAGTAAGTGTATGACTTGCTGAAACTTTGTGCTTTTGTTAGTGAACAGTGTTAAAAATCCCTTGGAATGAGGTTGTATGTAGCAAAAAAAGAAGTGGGTAGAAATGTAACATGTTATTTTTACAGATTCTGTAGCTTCTGAATCTCAGTATATAAAATGACTTGAAACGGTGAGTGATATGGGTGTCCTGTCTAATAAGATATGTGAATATCAATGAGTTGATTTTAGGGGGACCTCCTGGTTGGTATGGGTATTTTGATGTCAAATTTTCTTGTCAGATGAGAAACTGACTTGATCTTCATGTAATATTCTGGTTTATTTGGCATGCTTGTGGATGACCTGTGTATATAAGACCACGTGGTCTTATAATGTATTTTTTAGGGATTATAACACCTGGGAGCACAGACTTCATTACGAATAGCTGACTTGACTCCCCTTCCTCTGTGAGCTGCCTCTTCCTCTGCACATTCCATTTAGGGTTTAGTTTACTCTGGAATGTCATCCTTTACAATTCCATCTTTGGAGACAGATGGCAGGAAGGACTTTAGAGGGTGCTTCTTTGTAGGCTTGCTTCCTCGGAGTTTTGGAAGCTCATCTGTGCTTTCACTGACCTTTAGATGATTAACCGTATAAAGAAGCAAATGTCTTTGAAATAAATAAACCTGGTAAACAGAGGCAATTTGCATTTAAAATATTTATTATCCCTCCTACTTGTAACAATTACTAAAAATGTTTGAAATGAAAGAGCCTGGCTTGGCACCTGTGGCTCAAGTGGCTAAGGCGCCAGCCACATACACCTAAGGTGGTAGGTTCAAATCCAGCCCAGGCCCACCAAACAACAATGATGGCTGCAACCAAAAAATAGCCAGGTGTTGTGGCGGGCACCTATAGTCCCAGCTACTTGGGAGGCAGAGGCAGGAGACTCGCTTGAGCCTAGGAGTTGGAGGTTGCTGTGAGCTGTGATGCCACCACACTCTACCCAGGGGAATAGCTTGAGGCTCTGTCTCAAAAAAAAAAAAAAAAAAAGAAAGAAATGAAAGAGCTTGTATTAATTTTTTATTACTGATGTTACTGGAGCCAGTGAGGTTTCATAGCATCCCCACTGTGCAAAGCAGCAGCTGGAATGCACAGGGAAAGGTCTATACTGTGCTTGTATGTAGCTGGTTTCTTAAAACCCAGATGTCCAAGAAAGGTTAATTGGGTATGCTGATTACTTTTGCTGAATTATGGAAAGCCATGAAGAGAACCCTTCTCAGAGATCATCAGAGTGCTGTCTCCCCCTCCATAGGAACCCCTTCTACCACGTTCCTGACGTATGTGTGGTTCCCAGGCTCCTGAACTCCTCCGGGGATGGAAAAGCTTTTCCATTATTGATACGTTCCCCAATTCCTGGGCTGCAGACTGATACTTGTTCATGGCCTCTTAGAAACCTGGCTGGACAGCAGGAAATGAGCAGAGGGCAAACTAGTGAAACTTCATCTGTATTTACAGCCACTCCCCATTGATAGCAGCCTTGCCTGAGCTCCACCTCCTGTCAGATCCACCAGTGGCATTGGAATCTCATAGTAACAGGAACCCTACTGTAAACTGCATGTAGGGGATCTAAGTTGCGTGCTCTTTATGAGAACTTACTGCCTGATGATCTGAGGTGGGATGTAATGCCCTTGAATTATCCCCAAACTGTCCCCTCCCCACTACCCACTCCCATCCATGAAAAATTTTGTTCCATGAAACCCGTCCCTGGTGTCAAAAAGGTTGGAAACTGCTGCATTATTGGGCACTATTTGTTAAAAGTTTCTTCAGTTTTCTTTGAGACAGAGTCTCACTTGGTGGCCCTGGGTAGAGGGTAGAATGCTGTTGCGTCACAGCTCACAGCAACCTCAAATTCTTGGGCTCAAGCAATTCTCTTGCTTCAGCCTCCCGATTAGCTAGGATGACAGGTGCCTGCCACAGTGCCCGGCTATTAGAGATGGGGTCTCACTTTGGCTCAGGCTGTTAAGTTTTTTCTGCTTACAAAGAAAACTCTGGGCTCAGTGCCTGTAGCTCAAGAGACTAAGGCGCCAACCACATACATATTATTGCATAAAACACTGCATTATGAGCTTTTGTGGGGCAGGCCTTTAAGTGGTGGACACTGATCTCTCCGTGCCTTGTGTAGTGCCAGGCATGTAGTAGGAGCCCCCTGAATACTTGTCTCTGTGTCTGAAATGTGCTAGTGGAGTGGGTAGGAGCCCTCACTTAAGTTAGCTGGGTCTGGTCAGGGCTTTCCAACACTTCTGTATAAAAAAGTGAAGAGCTCTTTATACAGTGGTGGATCGATTGAGGATGTCTTTGTTTTTTGGAGACAGAGTATCACGTCCTTGGTAGAGTGCCGTGGTATCATAGTTCATAGCAACCTCAAATTCTTAGGCTCGAGCAACTCTTGCCAGAGCCTCCCAAGTAGCTGGGACTTCAGGCACCTGCTACAACACTTGACTATTTTTATTTTTTATTTTTGTCGAGGCAGTCTCACTTACCGCCCTTGGTAGAGTGTCCTGACGTCACAGCTCACAGCAACCTCAAACTCTTGGGCTCAAGTGATCCTCTTGCCTCAGATCCCTGAGTAGCTGTGCCTGACACAACGCCCTGCTATTTTTAGAGACAGGGTCTTGCTCTTGCTCAGACTGGTCTCAAACCTGTGAACTCAGGCATTCCACCTACCTCAGCCTCCCAGAGTGCTAGGATTACAAGGATGAGCCACTGCACCTGGCCCTGAGGATGTCTTCTTAATAATTCCTGGCCAGGTGTGGTGGCTCACACTTGTAATTCCAACACTTGTCAGGCCAAGGCAGGTGGATTGGCTGAGCTCAGGAGTTTGAGACCAGCCTGAGCAAGAGTAAGATTCCATCTGTAGAAAATAGCTGGGCATTGGGCGGTGCCTATGGCTCAAAGGAGTAGGGCGCTAGCCCCATATGCCAGAGGTGGCGGGTTCAAACCCAGCCCTAGCCAAAAACTGCAAAAAAAAAAAAAAAAGCTGGGCATTGTGGCCTGCACCTGTAGTCCCAATGACTTAGGAATCTGAGGCAAGATGATCACTTGAGCCCAAGAGTTTGAGGTTGCTGTGAGCTGTGATGCCATAGCACTCTACCAAAGGCAACAAATGAGACTGTCTCAACAAGAAAACAAAAGAATTCCTGACACTAGGTACCTACTGTGTGTTCTGCTTTTGATAGGTGCTTCACACCATCTCATTTGGTTCTCACAACTCTTAGGAGGTAGGAAGCAGGTGCTATTTTTATCCCTATTTTATAGAAACTGAGGCTACACAGAGATTGATTAAATGGCAAAACCAGGATTTTATTTTATTTTATTTTTATTTTTGAGACAGTCTCACTTGTCACCCTCGGTAGAGTGCCTTGACATCACAGCTTATAGCAACCTCAAACTCTTAGGCTTAAGTGATTTTCTCATCTTAGTCTCCCAAGGTACCTGCTGGGCTGGGAGGCAGTGCTGGGGGACAATCACTTGAGTCATCCTTGCCCGAGATTTGGTGAAGCCAGGGGCTGCTGTCAGAGCATCTCTCTCTGTCCTCATTGCCTTCGGGTTTCTTCTGCCTGTAGCAGACTCAGTCATGCTTTTATATGGGCACAATTTCACACTTAAGTTCCTTATCTACGCCTAATTTTATATGATGTTAAATCACTTGATTTTGTTCTTGTGGCTTCCTGCTTGCTATCAGTGTAATTATGAGGAAGTAGAACATCTTCAGAAGGAAGCACACATGCATTCCAAAATAAGAGCAGATTCACTCTCAACACAGGAAGAGAACTGAGGCTTTAATTAAGGGGTTAAATACAACCCCAAAGCGCTTTTGTGGGCACTGATTGCTCAGGCTTATGCGTCACTGCGTGAGTAAAGAGGGATACAGGTTTTAGACATGTATAGACAAAAAAACAGCTGGAGTTTGAGCTTAAAATACCCGCAGTCTCCAAAGAAGAGGCCCAAGTCCACACGACGTTGATCTCAGGGCTGCTAAGAAGGAAGAGCAGCAGCAGCATCGCGGGAGAAGTGCCAGCCAGCCCGGGATGCTGCTGCCTCGGGGCCTCCTGCTGCTGCTGCTCTTGGGGGCCACAGCCACAGCTGCCCTGCCCCTGGAGGGTGGCCCCACTGGCCAAGACAGCAGGGTGAGTACAGTCCCTGCTCAGCCCCACACTGGCCCACTCCCTGTGTCTTCTTTTGTTGACACGTTTGGCCATGTGTGCCAAACCCCCAGCATCTGCATGGCAAGCTGTGTGTGCGTGGGTTGCAGTTCACAAGTAGGACAAGATGCAGGGCTGAACTTTGTAGTGTTCTTGACTGGCCTGGGTACTGTGATGTCGCACGCAGAACATTGGTTCTCATTTGCCTTCACTTGTCTCGACCCAAGAAGTTTGTTAGAAACCACTGTAGCTCAAGGGGATCCTCTTCCTGCCAGTGTGCTCCGTCTGCTAGTCCGTGAGATGCTGAGTGATTGTCCCAGTCTATTGCAGCACAATCATGGCTCTGCAAATGCCCACAGTAGTCGCACGGACTTCTGGAGCCTTAATTTATATCTACAGCACATGCTCTCACTAGTGCCGATTAATTGACATCATTACATTTTCCTTGTGAGAATTTGTAACTTTATGAGGTGATTTATTTTTTTTTCCATTTTGAAAAAGTTCCAAGAAAGAGTACATAAAGTTGACCATTAAAAATGGATTTTTCTCTGAAATTACCAGATGAGTTTCAGACAGGTCATCTATCATCAGATTACTCCTAGACGTTTTCTAAGGAACTTGAAAGAGCAGAATATAACATCTCAGTCTAATCTGATCTGTCTCAAAGAGCAACTTGTGGACATCCAGGTGTGTGTCCAAAGATGGGGAAAATGAGCTAAATTAGCCTCATCCACCTCGGGGAGGGGGACTTCTTAATTGCCAGTCACTTGGTGAGAGAAAATGGCAGATTTCCTGACCTCTTCTAATTAACAGCTTCAGTAAGGATTGCGGGACAAAACCAGCAGTTCTTTTTCCTTGACTGAAAATTATCTTTTTCTAATTAGAGCAAGTTCTTTAAGGTATTGTCTTAACTTTCTCATCTTTTAAATGGAAATGTGATTAATTGTTATGGGCATCTTTTTTTTAAAGTAAGGGATTGTGTATATTTTAATGCTGGCTGAGCCAGACTGTTGATTTTTCTTTCCTTTGCCATCTGCTTCTCTTTAAAAGCATATGCAGGAAGCGGCAGAAACAAAGAAAAGCAGCCTTTTGACTTTCCTTGCTTGGTGGTATGAGTGGACCTCCCAGGCCAGTGGCGGGCCCCTGACAGGAGGGGAAGCCTGGGAGGTGTCCAAACGGCAGGAAGGCCGGCCCCTGCAGCAGTCCACTCGCCGAGATAAAACGCCCTGCAAGAATTTCTTCTGGAAGACCTTCTCCTCCTGCAAATAAAACTCCACCCATTACTCGTGGAAAACGTGTAATGATGGACCTCAATAAAATGTGTTGAACAGCAGCGATCTTTCTCTTTAGGGTAGTTTTTTCTCTTTCCCACGTCATTTGTAAAGTATTTCTTATTTAAATGTCAGTAGCACCCAAAACTGACGATGTCTTGAGTAATTTTGGAATCCAAAATGAACATTTTGATAAGGATTTTGTGATTTTGCCAGACCATACTCAATGTAGCCATTGGGCTTTCCTTCCAACCTTCATTATGGTGCTTGGAAGTTGTTACATCTTTGATTTAAAATAATTTAAGAGTTTAGAATAGCATCTCATTCCAGTTTATTTTGATATGAATTGTTTAATTTAAAAAATATTTCCCAGGTGGTGCCTATGGCTCAAGGAGTAGGCCACCAGCCCAGTATACTGGGGGTGGCAGGTTCAAACCTAGCCCCGTCCAAAATTGCAAAAAAAAAAATAATAATAATAAAAATAAAAAATATTTCCCTCACATTAAAAGCAAATTTTTTTTTTTTTTTTTTTTTTTGAGACAGAGCCTCAAGCTGTCCCCCTGGGTAGAGTGCCGTGGCATTACAGCTCACAGCAACCTCCAACTCCTGGACTCAAGCGAGTCTCCTGCCTCCGCCTCCCAAGTAGCTGGGACCACAGGCGCCCGCCACAACGCCCGGCTATTTTTTGGTTGCAGCCGTCATTGTTGTTTGGCGGGTCCGGGCTGGGGATTCGAACCCGCCACCTTAGGTGTACGTGGCTGGCGCCTTAGCCGGTTGAGCTATAGGCGCCGAGCCTAAAAGCAAATTTTTAACATTGCGCTCAAGGAGCAGAATGATTATTCCTCATGTTTCAGCTGAAATTAATTTTAAAATAAATGTTACGCTATTAAACAGAAAACATCATGCTGACATGCTCATAAAAGTTACATTCAAACTTGCTGTTATGTACCAGTTCTAATTAGTGACCTAATATTAATTGATTACAATTCTTTTCATGGATTACAGCTTTAGATTTGCTTTGTGAGGAGTGAAGTCTATAAAATTATTCTCTCCATGCTTCTGCCCAGCCTGTAGCCTGCTTGCCTCAACTTCTAATACCAAGACGTCCAAAGTCTCAGTATCTGGACTTGGTTCCGTGACAGATGGCTATGTATTATGCATGATTGTCATATTGCTCGTTCCTCAGTAATTTCCAGCAAATAGTGGCTAAATAGTGGTGGAGTGGGGTAGTTCCATTTCAGTGATGTAAAGCAGAGGAACTCTTGAGCCTCTGGGTTAGGGGTAAACAAATCCCTCAATTTCTTTGCTTTTCTTTCTTTCTTTCTTTCTTTCTTTTTTTTTTTTTTGTAGAGACAGAGTCTTACTTTGTTGCCCTTGGTAGAGTGCTGTGGCATCACACAGCTCACAGCAACCTCCGACTCCTGGGCTTAAGTGATTCTCTTGGCTCAGCCTCCCGAGTAGGTGGGATTACAGGCACCTGCCACAACACCCAGCTACAAATCCCTCAATTTCAAAGTATTCATCAAACTTTAATTCTCCCCTCAATGCTTGCTTGATTACATATGAATTCCAGCGTGAAGATTTTTAAAGCTTAGAGATCCATACCTGGAGTTATGGAAAGTTTCCAAGGGTCAGGCCTCATATTGGGAAAACTAGCAAGGGCTGGCTGGAGGATGTGGTTGTATTATCCTCTTTGGATGTCAGGGGAGCAGACTCACTGAATATGACTGCTGACCATTCTGTTCTGTTTTCTGCAGAGCTGAGCTCATATTCATAATTACCAGCTGAATAAAGTATAATGTGATGGAGAAACTTAATAGCACCCACATTTCCAAACACAGCAGCTTTAAGAGACCAGTAATTGGGTCAGTATACTGAGTGGAAGACTCCTGCCTGAAAAGGCCAGCTAACCTTTAGAATTTTGTCTTCCAAGATTTTTCTGGAAGAAAATCATGCTCATTGTTTTTCAGTTGTTTTTTTTTTTTTTTTTGAGACAGAGTCTCACTTTGTCACCCTCCATAGAGTGCTGTGGTGTCATAGCTCACAGCAACCTCCAACTCTTGGGCTCAAGCAATTCTCTTGCCTCAGCCACCCAAGTAGCTGGGACTATAGGTGCCCTGTTTCTCAGTTTTTTAATTGGGTGATAGATGCACACACGTCTTAAGATTGGGGATTTTAGCTTTTAACTAGATAGTTATCTGTAGGATAATGAGGCTCTGCTAATGATAGTGCCAGGAAATCCATCAAGTCTATCTTCATTCAGGGAACTTAATAAAATGTTAACTGGCATTGGCTGCATGTTAGATCAGATTTATATGCTCGTGATTCCTACCATCAGGTAGACTTTTTTTTTTTTTAAGAGACAGGATCTTCTTGTGTTGCCCAGCCTGGAGTGCAGTGGTATGATTATAGCCTCCTGTAACTTTGAATTCTAGGCGCTAGTGATCCTCCCACTTCAGCCTCCAAAGTGGCTGGGATTACAGGTGTGCATCACCCTGCCTACTGTTGGTAGACTTTTCTTAAAGTCTTCCTCTCTGTAGTTAATATAGTCAGGTATATAGATGTGGGTCATTAGGCCCTGGAGAAGGTTGAATTCATTCTCCTGTTACTGTTTCCAGCATTTGGCACCAGAATAGATCCTTAAGTGCTGAGGATGAATTGAGGCTGACAAGCATTTGACAAAGCCCTTCATAGTGTTCATATTTCAGGTCTGACAGCAGAGCATTCCAGGCCTTTGAAACAGACTAGTGAGCTCAGGGGAAATACTTAAACAACTTGATTTAAGCAGTGCATGCTGAATTCAGGTTTGTCTTAACTAAGTAGCTTCTTCAGTTGAGAGATGGATTTCATTTGGAACAAATCAGAAAAGGAAATTCTCTGTTTCTAGACTAGAGAAGAAGAGGCGAAGGAAAGCTGGGCCATGTACTATTTTTAACGTATAAGTAATGCTAGTAAGACAGTAATTTGTCCTTTCCTCTTTTTCTTTTCTTGGAGACAAGAGTCTCACTCTTCTGCATTAGGCAGAGTGCCCTGGGTGTCAGCCTAACTTTCTCATAACAACCTCAAACTCTGAGGCTCAAGGGGTCCTCCTGCCTCAGCTTCCTGAGTATGCACTCCTATGCTTGTCAAATTTTTCTACTTTTTTTAATAGAGACGGGGATCTCACTCTCACTCAGGCTGGTCTCAAACTCCTGAGCTGAAGCGCTTCTCCCACCTTGGCTTCCCAGAGTGCTAGGATTATGGGTGTGAGCCACCGTGCTTGGCTCTATTTTGCACTTTTAATTAAATAGTTAAGTGATCCCAAATATGTTTGTCTTACTAAATTATGAGCTGGAGCAAAAGGTAGGCTCTTTTGGTGATTGTATTGTAAACATGATATTGAAAAATGTTGAAGTAAATCCAGTATCTGTGCATTAACCTGTTGGTTCACGTCCCTGTAGTTGCACAAGTGTTGTTCTATCTCTTTTAAGCAAATAGCCAACTTGACGGTTCTGTGATCTGAAAGTGCAGGGTATCACTTGTCAGCCTTTGCCTAAGATCAAGTGAAAATGCGATGTAGGTGTACTTCCTAAGGAACGAGCCTGTTCCCCTCATGGAGGTTCTCTAACAGGATGGAGGACCTCACGGTCAGAGATTAGAGGACTCAGGTAGCGGATTGGTGGTCACACCAGATCCTTCTCAAAGTCCTTAACATCCTCAAGTAGGGCTGGATGTGGTGTCTCATGCCTGTAATCCCAACAGTCTGGGAAGCCAAAGGAGGAAGATTACTTGAGGCCAGGAGTTCGAGACAACTGGGCAATGTAGCAAGACCCTGTCTCTATAAAAAAATAAAAAACCAATTAGCCAGGCATGGTGGCCTGTGCCTGTAGTCCTAGCTATTTGGGGAGGCAGAGGTGGAAGGACTGCTTGAGCCTAGGAATTGGAGGTTATAGTGAGCCATGATTGTGCCGCAGCATTCCAGGCTGGGCAACAGAGGAGTGAGACCCTGTCTCCTGAGACAAAACAAAATAACCACCCCCCCAGCCTCAGGTAGTATAAGATATAGCCAAAATAAATAATTTAAGATAAAACTTTACAAATAAAAACCAAAAAAACTTGAATAGATAATTATGAAATTAAACAGCTAAACAAGCTGGTGAGTAAAGGCACATTAATTCCATTAATACTCTTGTAATTAATGCAGTGTTTTGTGTTTTTACAGGCTACTATTATTTTATTCCGTTCTCTCTAGAAAGTGAAAAATCCATTAGCTTTTTTCTTTTGCTTTTACCCAGAAATTAAAGGTTGGTAAGTGGTAATTAGCATAGCTCCTGTCAAAGCCAATTGCCTAATGGGGACCGACATTTGACTTAAGTTGAAAGAATGGAGTATGGCTAATGTGGAGTTCATTAGTCCCAGCTGCTTTCTTTGCTGTTCTTTTCTCCTACCAGAAGAACAGGCGTAGCCTGCTCTCTCACTCTCCTGTTTTTAGACATATTGCTGTGCTGCCACAGTTCTGTTCTACGCGGCCTGGAGGGAAGGTAAATAGTATCAAGGGCAATATGATGTGTTTGCAAGTGCTCTCACTACACACTGGGGCTAGAGTTTGTGGACGAAGGTCTTCCGTCTTACAGACCTGTTGATAGGAGCCTCCTGGCCTCCAGAAATGAAAAGGATCCACTGCTGTCTCCTATTGCTAGGTTCTAGAGAGCTCCATTTAACTCCTTCAACCTTGGAGCCTTAGGCTAGCCTAAGGTCCCAAGAAATTAGACTCAATATTTGTCTCTCTCCAAAACCATAGTACTTTTTCCATTCTCCTATACAGATGCTTGGTGGGTTTGTTTCAAGTAAAGAATACCAGTACCCAGAATAGTCAACTAAAGCTCTACCATGTATTTGACAGAAATATGTATATATGTATATGTATTTTTTTGAGTCAGTTTCATTTTGTCGCTGTCGGTAGAGTGGCGTGGCATCACAGCTCACAGTAACCTCAGACTCTTGTGCTTAAGCAATTCTTTTGCCTCACCCTCCCAAGAAGCTGGGACTACAGGCACTAGCCACAACACCCAGCTATTTTTTTGTTGTAGTTGTCATTGTTTAGCCAGGCCAGGTTCGCACCTGCCAACCTTGGTGTATGTGGCCGGTGTTGCAATTGCTGTGCTACAGGCACCGAGCCTGACAAATATTTTTAATTTAGGAGGGCAAAGATGAAGGTGTCAGTATAATTGGTGAATAGAGATACCATTACCTGGGTACTTGCTGCTCTGACACCACCAGCACCATGACTGTGGGAGAAAGCTTTTGGCAATCATGTTGCAGACACATTAGGCCTTTCTCAGCTGGCAAAGCTGCCAACTTACTACACTGGTATGAGAAAACTAGTGGTCTGGGCATGTTAATAGAAAAGTATGTGTGGCCCGGCGCCTGTGGCTCAAGCAGCTAAGGCGCCAGCCACGTACACCTAAGGTCGCAGGTTCGAATCCAGCCAGGGCCCGCCAAACAACAATAATGGCTGCAACCAAAATATAGCCAGGCATTGTGGCGGGCGCCTATGGTCCCAGCTGCTTGGGAGGCTGAGGCAGGAGACTCGCTTGAGCCTAGGAGTTGGAGGTTGCTGTGAGCAGTGAAGCCATGGCACTCTACCCAGGGGGACAGCTTGAGGCTCTGTCTCAAAAAAAAAAAAAAAAAGAAAAGAAAAGAAAAGTATGTAGACCTAAGAGAAAACAGAAGTAGAAAGAGTGATAGCATTATAACCAGAAGACCTGACCTTGTTCCTGGTTCCTCTAATTAACCTTGTGACATTAGACAAGTCCCTGAACCCGATTTGCTCGTGTATAATATAAAATGACGGATGACAAGTCACACCCTACCTCACTTACCAGTTTGGTGAGGCTTATATGTGTTAGGTGTCAACACGCAGCAGATTTTAGACTGTTAAAAAATTCTTGATGGGCATTACTGCCCCTCCAGGGGCATTTTGGAAACATGTGCATACTTTTAGTTATCTTAGTGACTGGAGGTTACTACTGGCAATGGGTGGGTGGCTTAGGGGTGGGATACTAGTTTTCCTGCAGTGCACAGGAAAGGAAGAATTGTCCCACATCCTGCATGACTTTTCAGTATCATGCTGGACCAAAACCTGTTCAAATGATTTTATCCTGAAACCTAATTTTGTTTTTTTCTTTTTGCAGTTTTTGGCCAGGGTTGGGTTTGAACCTGCCACCTCCAGCATATGAGGCTGGTGCCTACTCCTTTGAGCCACAGGCGCCACCCAGAAACCTAATTGTTTTTTGTTTTGTTCTGAGACAGAGTCTCACTATGTTGCTCTCAGTAGAGTGCTGTGGCATCACATCTCACAGCAACCTCAAACTCTTGGGCTTAAGTGATTCTCTTGCCTCAGCCTCCGACGTAGCTGGGACTACAGGTCTCCGCCACAACACCAGGCTATTTTTTGGTCGCAGTTGTCATTGTTGTTCAAGCAGGCCTGGGCCAGGCATGAACTCACCACCTTTGGTGTAGGTGGCCGGCACCCTATTCACTGCCCTACTCAGTGAGCAATGGGTGCTGAGCCTGTTTTGTTTTTAAGACATGGTCTCACTCTGTAGCTAGGCTAGAATACAGTGATATCACCATAGCTCATAACACCCTCAAACTCCTGTGCTCAAGTGATCCATCTGTCTCAGCCTCCTGAATAGCTGGGACTACAACATGTACCACTGTGCCTGGCTAATTTTTCTATTTTTTGTAGAGATGGGGGTCTCGCCATGTTGCTCTGCCTGCTCTCAAACTCCTGTCTTCAAGTCAACCTCCTGCTTTGGCCTCTCAAAGTGCTGGGATTATAGGCATGAGCCACTGTGCTCAGCGAAGCATAAAGTATTTTTTTTTCCTGTTTTAATTAAATCAAGGATAGATGTTATTTTACATGTTATTACAGGCCAGTCAAGGTGGCTCACACCTGCAATCCTAGCACTCTGAGCATGGATTGCCTGAGCTGAGGAGTTTAAGACCATCCTGAGCTAGAGGCAGACCCTGTCCCTAAAAATAGCCAGGCATTGTGGTGGGTGCCTGTAGTCCTAGCTACTTGGGAGACTGAGGCAAGAGGATCATTTGTACCCTCAAGTGAGACTGTTTCTCAAAAAAAAAAAAAAAATTACTGTTTTGGGAAATCTCATCACTAAGGGCAATGCTGGTGGTGGTATTTGGGCTGACAATTAGTGCACGCCCATGTTAGCCTGCCTCTGTCAAATTCACAATAATTCAACCTGTAAGGAAAAGCATCTGAAACCTCACTGTCACATTCAGACAGTGACATACATGCCATTATATTAGAAATTATTTTCCTTTTGCTTCTTCTGAAATATTAAATTCAGGGTGTTATACTTTTGTGAGTGTGGGTAGTTTTATCAGCTATGGCTTTTTCTTTTTCTTCTTTTTGAGACAGAGTTTTACTTTGTCACCCTCAGAAGAGTGCCCTAGCATCATAGCTCACAGCAACCTCAAACTCTTGGGCTCAAGTGATTCTCTTGCTTCAGTCTCCCGAGTAGCTGGGACTAGAGGCGCCTGCTACAATGTCCAGCTACTTTTAAAGGCGAAATCTCCCTCTGGCTCAGGCTAGTCTTGAAGCCGTGAGCTCAGGCAATCTATCTGCCTTGCCTTCCCAGAATGCTAGGATTATAGGCATGAGCCACCTTGCCTGGCCCTCAGCTATGGCTTTATTTAAGGACAATTCAATGGGTATTACAAAATATAAATTTTTGTTTTAAAATTTATTTTTATAGCCCATTCTGCAGAAATTTTTTCTTTTTTGAGACAGAGTTTTATTCTGTCACCCTCAGTAGAGTGCTGTGACATCACAGCTCATAGCAACCTCCAGCTCTTCGGTTTAGGCGATTCTCTTGCCTCAGCCTCCTGAGTAGCTGGGACTACAGGCGCCCACCACAACGCCTGGCTATTTTTTTGTTGCAGTTTGGCCAGGGCTGGGTTCGAACCTGCTACCCTTGGTATATGGGGCCAGCATCCTACCCACTGAGACACAGGCACAGATTTTTATTTTTCAAAATAAGCTATAAAAAGAAAATATTGGGGCTAATAAGTGAGAACCAGTGGTAGCAAGGGTGTCCAACTTGTGGACCGTGGGCTGCATTCTGATTTTGTGAGGACTTTTTTGGCTTATCTGTGGTGTTAGGTATCATCAGAAGTATAAATGGACCCTGTTTTTTTTTTTTTTCCAATATGTGGCAGAGAAAGAAAAGGTTGGACACCCCTAGAAGCATTAGTAAAAAAGCCAAATAAATCTGACTCTCCTTGAAGATGATCATGGAAGGAAGTTCTTTCTTTTGACAAGTCTCACTCTGTTGCCCTGGGGTTGAGTGCCATGGTATCATCATAACTCATAACAACCTCAAACTTTTGAGCTCAAGTAATCCTCTTGCCTCAGTTTTCCTATTTTTAGTAGAGACGGGGTCTTGCTCTTGCTCAGGCTGGTCTTGAACTCCTGAGCTCAAGTAATCCACCTGCCTCTGCCTCCCAGTATGCTAGGATTATAGGTGCCAGCCACCTCCCTTAGCCAGAAGTTCCTTTTGTTTAATTATTTTTTGTATCCCACCTTCACCCTAGGACTTACTACTATAGTTCTTTGCTTAATAAATAGCCAGTCTGTCTCTTTTCTTTTTTTTAAATTTTTTGTTGTTGTTGTTGTTGCAGTTTTTGGCCAGAGCTGGGTTTGAACCGGCCAGCTCCAGCATATGGGGCCGGCGCCCTGCTCCTTTAAGCCACAAGCGCCACCCAGTTTATCTCTTAATAGCATTCCATTTTCACCTATGCATACTGTAAGAAAAGTCAAATAAGTCAATGATAATGAATCTTTTCCCTGCAAGAAGAGTGTGTTATAGATTATAAAACCTGCAGAACAAGTTTGTACGGACGCAGAGGCATACAAACCAGAAGTGCTCTGCTCTGCACACAGAGAGGCGTGGAGTCCTATCACATGGAAATTGCTTTAATGACCTTTTATACCCCCTGCCAGTAAAGCTTATTAGAAAACTGCAAAGAATTTTGCAGTGATAAAAGATACAATCTCACAATACTGAATTAGATATTGGAAATGGCAAAGTAGATTCTCTGTCCCTACGGTCTGCAAATTTAATGTGTGCCTATGAACAAACAAACAAATTCATTAACTTGAGAAACAAGTTTACGGCCATAATCAATGCTCTGTTATGTCACGTGTTACTTTTTATTACATTATCTGTGTTTAAATTCTGCACTTCCAGTTTTAGGATAAGGAGTTCAAAAATAAGACAGTTTCTTTTCATTGCCCTTGACAAGTACTTTTAAACAGGGAACACAAGAAAACACAATTAGAGGAGGTGGGACACCGTTGGTGTGGCTCTATCATTCAAAACCAGTAGTGGGGCATGTAGAGACTTGGAACAGCTTTTCTGGAGGGAGCATAAAGCTAGCCTTCCAACCTGATCCAGAACATACTCAAAGGCAAGAGGTAGGATAGTGTGTAGGTAGTAAAATAATCAGGCTAAAGGTATTTACGGATAACAAAAACAAGGCCACAGGTTTTTCTCTGGCATATTTCCAGCTTTAACTATGTGGGATCTTGTCTGGCTCGTTTAGGAGTCTGCGGTTCTTCAGATAGTGAATTCTTCCTTGCTGAGATGTTCCGGAGAGAATGCAGGCTCTGGATCTGCTGCAGGCGCAGGGTGAGCTCCTGCTTACAGGCCTGCTGGACGTTTTCCGTCTTCTTCATGTCCCAGTTCAAAGCAAGAGCCAGTGCTCTGGGGTCTTCTTTGGTAACCAACTGCAGCAAGAATAAGAACTACTGAAAACCACTATCTCTGTGCTCCTCACCTGCTGCTCTCATGATATTTCTTTTTAAAGATGAATTAGTTACTTTTAAATTATTTTCTTAAGAGAAGAAAGAGTGGAGTGTCATGGTGCAATCACAGCTCACTGCAGCCTTTATCTTCTGGGCTCAAGTGATCCTCATGCCTCTGCCTCCTGAGCAGTTGGGACCACAGGTGCATGCGACCACACCCAGCTCATTAAATTTTTTTTGTAGAGATGGGGGGGGGGGGTCTTGCTATGTTGCCCAGGCTGGTTTCAAACTCCTGACCTCAAGCAATCCTCCTGACTTGGCCTACCAAAGTGCTGGGATTATAGGCGTGAGCCACTGTGCCCTGCCTCTCATGATGTATTTCAGGGGAATGAGATTAGGGAAGATCAGTTTATGTTATCTCTTTACACTGAAATGCTACGTTTCTTTCACAGGAAATGGTCAAGTGGCTTTTCTTGCCATACAGTAACAACAGGAAGGGACCTTTGAAAAGTTTACTTGGAGCAACTGTAAAGTCCTCCACCTACAGGAAATTTAGCCAAGCTCATGTCAACAGTTTCTTTCCCTTTTGTCTACAATATGAAGGTACCTGGGACAAGGACAAGGAAAGGAATAAGTAGCATCCATCTGATGGGTTCCCTTCATCAAGCTTCTCGTTCCCTGGTCTTACACAGTCAGTACACAATGATCCCCCAAGTCTGCTTTCTCATGTGAGATTTCAGACTGCGGGACTGACTGTGGATTTTCTTTGACCACGGCCAGAAGCAGAAGCCATCTCAGAAGATGGAGCCCTGCTGGTCTTCTCTGTCAGCTTCAGTCTTTCACTACTGACCCTGGACCAGAGGGTAATGTTTAATGATTGGGGGAAGTGCACTCATTTTTTTTAAAGCCACTTTGAGTTAGATTAAATGAGATGTTTGTAAATGCTTTGGTATATAACAGGCAAATTGGCAGATATGATTAGGGTCTGCAGAGGTGAAAAAATAAATCCCATACATGCCTCTGCATGGCAATCCTACATCTCCAGGGCAAGTCATTCTCTGCAGTTCAGGGACCCTGGTTCTTGCCCACCTCCAAATCCTGACTAGATAAACTCAGCTCTGGAGCAGGCTTCTCCTTCAGTGCAGTGAGGATCTGGCCTGTCAGTGCAATTTCAGAGGAGAGCTCTCTGCTGACACACGTGTCAACTGCATCTACTTCTTCATTGAAACCAGCTCTGGACTCTGCAAAGGAGATGTAAGACAGAGATGAGCACGCTGCCTGGTCAGATAGCTACATGGCCACCCAGCCAGAGTAACCACGTGGGCAAGAGAGAAACATGCCATTCCAAGATCCCAGCAGCTGTGGCTTCAGTGTTTGACTTCACTGCAAACATGAGGCCATCGCTCAGGGGAAAGCTCCACTGGCCCCAAGTTCTCAGAGTCGCTTCCCCAGTACAGAATCCTACCTTCCTGCTTTGACAAGGTGCTGCCCTCCTTCCCCAAAGCCTGTAGATAAAGCTCCAGGAGTTGCTTGGACTGGCGGGCCTCCTCTCTCTGGTCAAGCACCTGCTGGAGTGTGTTCTGGAGCCCCTGGATGGTGGCACAACTTTGGCATAGTTCCTGAGCCAAGTCTGAACATGGAACATCGATGAGCACCTAGGAAACGAATACAGACTCTAAGGAATTTAAAAGGAATTTCCTAGCCGGGTTTGTGGTGGGCGCCTGTGGTCCTAGCTACTAGGGTGGCTGAGGCAAGAGAATTGCTTGAGCCAAGAGTTGGAGGTTGCTGTGAGCTATGATGCCACAGCACTCTACTGAGTGCTACTCTAACAAAGTGAGAGTCTGTCTCCATTAAAAAAGAAAGAAAGAAAGAACTAATTACCTCTATTTTCCAAAGTCCCCTACTGTGGCTGGCTGAGAGTCAAGAGAGAAGCATGTGGTATGTCCAATATTCCTCTACTTTTAAAATTGGGAGAATACAGCAAAAACTCAATATTAAAAAGTCACCTGTATGGCTCGGCACCTATAACTCAGTGGCTAGGGTGTCGGCCACATACACTGGGGTGGGCAGGTTCAAACCAGGCCCAGGGTCTGCCAAACAACAATGACAACTACAACAACAACAAAATAGCCAGCCATTGAGGCAGGTGCCTATAGTCCCAGCTACTCAGGAGCCTGAGGCAAGAGAATTGCCTATGCCCAAGAGTTGGAGGTTGCTGTGAGCTGTGATGTCACTGCACTCTATCGAGGGCAATAAAGTGAGACTTTGTTTCTAAAAAAACCAAACCAAACCCAAAAGCCGTCCCTTGAAGAGGAATCGCAATCTAGAGCAGCCCCTACCACTCTCTGCATCCATTCCACCTCGTCTGACATGCTCTCGTTTTGTCTGCCCCCTTCATCAGAGTGCAGGTTCCACCACAGCAGAGACTGTGTAGGGCTTGTCCACCACTGCACATCCAGTGCACACCACCAGGTCCAGCACAGGGCGGGGACTCAGTGAGTATTTCTTGAATAAAAACATATTATTTTTATCCCAATTTTACCGAAGAAAAAACACAAGTAGAAAAGCTAAGCTGCTGGCACAAAGTCACAGTGATAGAGCTGAGATTTGAACCCAGCTATTGCAATGCTACATTCTTTAGCAGTGGACCCTCTACCCCCATAGTCCACCAGACAGGTCTAGGGTGAGACCTGGGCATCTGTACTTAAAAAATCTACAGATGATTCTGATACACGGTGAGAGTTGAAAACTTAACTATTTTAGGTGATAACTATAAGAGGAAGAATCTTTTTTTCTTTTTTTTGCAGTTTTTGGCCATGGCTGGGTTTGAACCCACCACCGGTGTATGGGGCCAGCGCCCTACTCCTTTGAGCCACAGGCGCTGCCCTAAGAGGAATAATCTTAGTTGTAATTTGAAAAAAATTTTTTAATGTGCTTTGTGTCATTAGTCATCAGAGAAATGCTTTAATTTTATTTATTATTATTTTTTTGAGACAGAGTCTCACTTTGTCACCCCTCAAAGAGTGCCGTGGTGTCATAGCTCACAGCAACCTCCAACTCTTGTATTCACGCGATTCTCTTGCCTCAGCTTTTGAAGTAGCTGGGACTACAGGCACCAGCCACAATGGCTGGCTATTTTTAGAGACAAGGTCTCATTCTGGCCCAGGCTGGTCTTGAACCTGTGAGCTTAGGCAATGCCCCCACCTCAGCCTCCCAAAATGTTAGGATTATAGACATGAGCCACTGCACCTGGCCTGTAATTTGAGAATTATTTAAAAATTAGATGATGGAAGCTAAGAAGGTGGTGGGTGCTGCGAAGGTCAACTGCTGCAGGTTGTGGAGAAGACTTACTTGGAGGTCCTCCTCTGACAGGAGGATGATGTTGGCTAGATCTTCTTTCAGCTGCCTGGCCACATTCTTCCACTTCAACCCTGCCCCGCTGTCTGTTTCATCTATATCAAAGGACTCTTGGGAAATCCAAGCTGTACCTCCATCTGATACATGGGAGAAAATGCCAGTCACTGTCAGAGCAACCTGAAAGTAGTTTTCCCCTCCTCACTGGACAGACACAGACCTCTTGAGGATGTATGCGTCCTTCTGACTGACCATGGAGAATGATTCCAGTGGTGAAGGAAGCACCTTATCCCATTCACAGTACAGCCAATCCCACCTAGAACCTGAATTTTCTCCCTTCCTCCATCTTCAGTTTGTTTCCTTGTGCAACTGTTCTGTTTTCTATGGAAAAAAGCCACTTAAACCCAGTGTATCGTCATGATACCCAGGGTCTTATCACATGTCCCTTTTGGTTACTTTTTGTCTGGATGTGTCCTCTTTCTGTATGTAAAAACTTCATTCTCACCAGCACTTCTCTGGTGCTTGGGGAATGGTTCCTTCCTTAATTGGAGGAGGTGTAGCCACTGTTTGCCATCCCTTGAGCCTGAGTACAAAAAGCCTGGTGGAGTCATTGCTGAAAGGTGATTTCCTCAACTTAGTGGCTCATGGACTCTCCTGAGCTACAGGTGCCGAGCCTGTATTAGTATTCTTATAACAAACCTAGGAGACATGTACTACGTGGTTGTTATTTTGTAAATAGGGCACTGAGAGGGGGTAAGTAGTTTGCACCAAGTCATCTGGCTAGTAAATGGCAGGGCTAGGATTCAGACCCAGACAGCCTGACTCCAGCCTGCAGTGCTGATCTCCCTGGCATACGGCATTTTAGTGGCTGTCAGTCTGTGAGTTGGCTGAGAAGTGGGCCCATATCTCATTCATCTTTTTCTCCAGGACTCAGTGTTATGTCTGGGACATGGAAGGTGCTCAGTAAATGTTTGCTACAAAAATGCTAGAAGAAGCTAGACGCATACCCAGGAGTATGTGGCCCCCCAAAAGAGAAAAGAAGCTAGACATATACAACAAGCTGCTTGTGCAATGTAATGAATATGAGGGCTGCTGTACTGCACAGGCCATTTTATATACGGCTATTGTTTCTTACCTGAATTGCTGTATACCCACTTCTCATTATTGGCCAATGCCACAAACTTAGTATTCGAAGGTAGACACAGGAAGTAATCATCATCATCCACTATGGTGCCATCCTCTGCCAGGACCAGGGTAACTGGTGTCAGAGACTTATCAATGGCCAGAATGTCACAGGCTGAGAAAAATAAAATAACAGGCAACTGACAAATTCTCATAAGGAAACTATACCCATCCTTACACCCTCAATATGACTGCCTCCAAAGCCAAGCAGGAAGTGATAACTACAGCAGTAACTATAACACTTCCCATGGGCCTGGTACTGTTATAAGTGCTTTTCATACACAGTATTTAATCTCATAGCATTCCTGTAAGGCTGGTACTACTATTATTCCCATTTTACAGACGATGAACCCAAGATTCAGCGAGGTTAAGTAACTTATCCAAGATCACACAGTAAGTGGCAGAGCTGAGATTTAAACCCACTAAAATGTGTTTACCACAGCTACTCTGCACTGGTATATAGGAGGCATTGGAGGTTTTGCTTGAATGAACAACCAATGTCCTTGGTCTTTCTTTTTTTTTTTTTTTTGAGACAGAGTGCCGTGGCATCACAGCTCACAGCTCCAACTCCTAGGCTTAAGCGATTCTTATGCCTCAGTCTCCCAAGTAGCTGGGACTACAGGCGCCCGCCACAACACCTGGCTATTTTTTGGTTGTAGTTGTTGTTTGGCAGGCCCAGGCTGGATTCAAACTCACCAGCTCTGGTGTATGTGGCTGGTGCCTTAGCTGTTTGAGCCACAGGCGCTGAGCCCTTGGTCTTTCTTTCATTTATTCAGTTTTCATCTTAAATTCTCTTACTTGTTTTAATTTTAAAAATTTTATTTACTGATTTTTTAGAGATGGGGTCTCCCTCTGTTGCCCAAGGCTGGAGTGCGGTGGTGTGATCACAGCTCACTGCAACCTTGAACTACTGATCCTTCTGCTTTAGCCTTCTGAGTAGTCAGAAGTGTAGGTGCACACCACCATGCCCAGCTAAGTTTCTTTTTTTTTTTTTTTTGAGACAGAGCCTCAAGCTGTCCCCCTGGGTAGAGTGCCGTGGCATTACAGCTCACGGCAACCTCCAACTCCTGGGCTCAAGCGAGTCTCCTGCCTCCGCCTCCCAAGTGGCTGGGACCACAGGCGCCCGCCACAACGCCTGGCCATTTTTTGGTTGCAGCCATCATTGTTGTTTGGCGGGCCCGGGCTGGGGATTCGAACCCGCCACCTTAGGTGTACGTGGCTGGCGCCTTAGCCGGTTGAGCTATAGGCGCCGAGCCCCAGCTAAGTTTCTTAACAAATTTTTATAGAGATGAGGTCTCACTATGTTGCCCAGGCTGGTCTTGAACTCCTAGCTTCAAGCAATTCTCCTGTCTCAAAAAACCCATCGAAAACCAATTCTCCTGCCTTGACCTCCCAAAGCACTAGAATTACAGGTTTGCTCAGCCTTAAATTTTCCTATGTGGCAGATATAAAAAAAAGAAAGAAAGTAAAGAAAATGCTTTTTGTCCTTTGCATTATTTTCCTTTGTAGCTTTTCTAACCTATAGGAAAATGTAAGAGAAGCAGAAACTTCTGTCAGTAGCTTTTCCGTTTCATTATCACTGGATGAAAGGGCTTTCTGCCCAGCAGGTCTGTACGGTCCCGTTTAGTGATGGCAGTGTCTAAAATGCTAATGGGACTGAAGTAAGCAGAAATATCCAAGAGACTACAAATATCTTTCTGCAATGATGCCTACTACCCAAATGAAACAGCAAGGTTTGTATGGTCTGAGCTACAAAGAACTGAGGCCTCCGTGCTAAGTACATCCAGCCAATGCACTGAAGTGGCACTAAAATTAAAGTAAGCTAATGCCAAGAAAAAATACGTAAACACTTATGTGGCAAGATCTATGTCATCAAGGCATTTGTAGTGCTTTAGTAGCTCCTGGGTCTCTGAAAAACTTTTATATAATACCTTTTGGGGCTTAATGATTCTGCTGAGAGGGACCAACTGTACACTCTGACACCAACTGTGATGACACAACTGGGGCTGGCTGGAAAACTTGTTTGTATAAAGAATTTGTTGCGGTGGGCTAACAACTATTGCAAATTATTTGAGTATATCACATCATTTGAGGGTCCCAATAATCCTTTGAAGTGGGGCTGGAAGCATTATACCCAATCTGCCAGTTAGAAAACTGAGCGTTGAGAGATGGTTGAGTACAAGGTCAAGCAAGTTCAAGCGTGGGGCCGGCTCAAAACTTCAGTCCATCTAGGTCACCCACAACTCAGGTTCCTCGTCTGGACCTCCAGAAACGGTCGGTAGCAGCACCCACCCTCTTTAAGGCATAGGTCCTTGCTAGAGCTGATGGTGCAACCCACCCCTACTCTACCGTAGGTTCAAGCTGGGGGCCCATTACCCCCTATTGAGCTAGAGTGGCAGGAGTACACTGGGCTGGGTTTGTTCCAATACCTAAGTGATTTCAGGCAATAGACTTACGCTGACTGTCTTAATTTGCACATTTCTTTTCATTTTCCCACCACTACGAGTCTCACACGAGAAAAAATAAGTTTAAGCCCTTGACATCTATAAATTGCTAAACCCAGATGGACCACTTCTCTCTCAAGGCTCCACCCGTACTACAAAAATCCGCCAGTCGCCTCTCTCCGGACCCGCCTTGCCCCGCCGGGCATCCTCCCGCGGCCTGGGCTCCCCCACCCCCTTGCCCGGGTCCCCTGCCAACCCTTGCTCCTCAGCTCCTCCAGACAGGAGGCAGCCACACCGTGCTGTTCGAGGCTGTGGTTGCGGCGCAGTAGACACGGCTTTAGATTCCGGATCTCGCCGGGTTCCGGAGCCCCGACACCCTCAGTCACCTCCATCCTTTCCAAGGTGGGAGCCCAAGTGCCTCCAGGAAGTTGTGGGAAGCGCAGCGGTCCTCCTACCCGCCCCTCCCGCGGCCTGCTGGGAGATGTAGTTCTCACTACACAAGCCACGCGTGAGCCGGGGCACGCCGGGAGTTGTAGTTCTAGTCGGCAATCACTTGCACCCCCGGGGCGTGCCGGGAACTGTAGTCTCTGAATTCAAAGCTGCTGTCTATATTACGTCGCGCGATTCAGCCCAGGAGGAGTTAGCTTTTACTTTGCATTTAGAAATTGCAATGCAGGTTTACAAAGGAAGTCAGTAGGGAATTACTTTGCTTTACGAAGCACACACATTGAATTTTTAGAGCACTCCTGTTTGCATAAGTGATGAAGAGATGCATAATGTTCTTCAATAAAGCAGTCTGTCATTGCACTATGTTAATTGGTTTTTCTTCTCTAACCTGAAAAGATTTGTGAAATGTCCCAGTCTTCAGGTTGATTTGAAGGAAGTCAGTTTTTTTTTTTTGTTTGTTTTGTTTTTGAGGGTCTCAAGCTGTTGCCCTAGGTAGAGTGCCATGGCGTCATAGCGCACAGCAACCTCCAACTCTTGGGCTCAAGTGATGCTTTTGCCTCAGTTTTTCTATTTTTCAGTAGAGACAGGGGAGGGGGTCCTTGCTTTTGCTCAGGCTGGTCTCCAACTCGTGAACTCAAGCAATCTGCCCGCTTTGGCCTCCCAAAGTGCTAGGATTACAGGCTGAGCCACAGCTCCTGGCCTGAAGGAAGTCAGTTTTGAAAATAGAAGTTTTTAGTCTTGATGAAAACACAACAAAGTAACATAAGCTACCGACATATTTCCACCCATTTCATTCCTCGCTTCAGCTTTTAAACTGGGTTGGAGCCTCAGAACAAAATGCTTTTATTGATTTTTTTCCTGCCCCCTACTCCTGCCCCCAAATCCAAAATGCTTTATTTAAACAGTTAACATTGACATCTCAAATCAGAGAGGGAAGGGGAAATGAGAGCCACAGCACTGTTGAGATTGTTCAGATACTGCCTGACAACATATTTATCTTTATTTTAATAATATTATGGAAAAGTCTGTGTTTTATCCTTCTGAAAAACTGACATTTAAGATTATAAGAATAATAAAAAAGAACCAAAAAGGTTCCTCACTTAAAAGAGGGTATTTTATGTAAACTAGAAATAATTGCCTATGTTCGTTCAGTCGCTTTCATATTTTGTTTATAAAAAACGTGGTTGAGGAAATCAGATACTATCTAAAGAAAAGGGTAGGCATTTAAAAGTGTTTGGTACATGCTCGTTTCGGCAGCATATACACTAAAATTGGAACGATACAGACAAGATTAGCACAATCCAAATTTTATTATTAAAAATAAATAAAAGTGTTTGGTAGGTGGAATTGTTAGATTAGGCAACTTTTTGAGTACTTCATATTGACCAAAACACAGCTATAATAGGAGCTGACTCACAATTCTAATATATGCATCCCTTTTCATATAATTTAATATTTGGTTTAAAATCTGGTTCAGCGCCTGTAGCACAGTGGTTACAGTGCCAGCCACATACACCATGGGTGGCAGGTTTGAGCCCGGCCTGGGTCAGCTAAATAACAATGTCAACTGCAACAAAAAATAGCCAGGTGTTGTGGCAGGTGCCAGTAATCCCAGCTACTTGGGAGGCTGAGGCAAGAGAATTGCTTAAGACCAAGCATTTGGGCTGGGTGCCTGTGGCTCAGGCGGCCAAGGCGCCAGCCATATACACCTGAGCTGGCGGGTTCGAATCCAGCCTGGCCCGCCAAACAACAATGACAGCTGCAACCAAAAATATAGCCAGGTGTGGCAGGCACCTGTAATCCCAGCTACTTGGGAGGCAGAGGCAGGAGAATCGCTTGAGCCCAGGAGTTGGAGCAGGGGTCCTCAAACTTTTTTTAAAATTAAATCAAAATACTATCATGGAGTACAGTGTACTGTTTCTGTATACAATTTGAAATACTTTCATCCAACTGGTTAACATAGCCTTCATGTCTTTTTCATAGTTATTGTGTTAAGACATATTCTACGCTTAGAGAGATTCACATGTACCCTTATAGGATGAACCATAGGCGTGATCCCACCAATCACCCTCCCTCCACCTACCCTCCTCCTTCCCCTGCCCCCTCACACTTTTTAAAACGGGGCCAGGGGGCCAGTTCACTGTCCCTCAGACTGTTGGAGGGCCAGACTGCGGGCCGGGGACCAGTTGGCTGCTAAGGACAGGCAGCGGGGGCAAAAACACCTGACGGGCCGGATAAATGTCCTAGGCGGGCCCCAGTTTGAAGATGCCTGTGTTGGAGGCTGCTGTGAGCTGTAATGTCACAGCACTCTACCCAGGCTGACAGCTTGAGGCTCTGTCTCAAAAAAAAGACCAAGAGTTGCTGTGAGTTGTGATGACATAGCACTCTACCAAAGGCGACACAGTGAGACTCTGTCTCAAAAATAAATAAGTAAATGAGTAAAATAAAATCTAACAATTCAACCACTATAAAACGAAGTTTCGTAGAAGCCTCTCCCTACCCCAGCCCCCTCCTGTGTGTTTTCCCAATAGATCTGCACACTGCTATCCAAGTCCTGTGCCCAGGATGCTGTAATTGTGTGTGAGTTCGGTCTAGGCCTGGAAGTAGGGATCGGGTCTTCGATCTTTTTATATCTAGTGCCTACCAAAGTTTCTGGCAAATAGAAAGCACTCAACGACGGGTACTGAACTGATTTTTTAAAAATTTCCAAGTTTCTTCACATTCATTTATTAAATACTCAGCGAATCCCTAAATGTGCCCACGGCACTGTGGGGATGGGTTGAAATTTTATTTAATAACACACATCTACATGCAACAATGCAAAAAGGATACAGACCTCGGATCTTCCTCGGAAGCAAGGAAACAATGAAAATTGCGCGTTCCACCCCTTGCCCCCAGCCCGCCCTCTCCATCGACAAACTCTGTTTCGGCTACCTTAGTCTGGGCGGGATAGGGAGAGCGAGGGCGCTTGGGAGAAACCTGGCCTAGCGGCGGTAGATTAACCAGGCCTCAGAAAGATGGCGTCCTCAGAGCAGGCAGAGCAGCCGAGCCAGGTAAGGGGAGTGGGACTGCCCCGCTGTGGCCACGGGGACCCCAGCTGGAGGGGGCGCTCGGCCTACGGTTGGGAGTCGGGTAGGAACCCGGAGTCTCCGAAGCTGGGGGCCCCGGCTCCTTCCCTCCTCCCGAGCCCCGCCCCTCCGCAGGTCCTCCCCGCCCGGCCCCTCCCCCGGTGACCCCTCTTTGACCACATTCCGGAGCCCGGGATCTGGTGCTTAGCCGCGCCCGCGGCCCCCCTCTTCCCGCTTACTGGCCCTTTCGGTGCTACTCGAGCTTGGCGGGAAGGGTGGCGGGACCTTTGGAAAGCCCCCAGCCTGCTGCTGAGAGGGCCCCTGCTTGAGGAGAGGGAGTGAGAGGCTCGGCGGTTCCTGGCTGTCCCTCCGGGGAGGGGCCTTACTCCTCCTTCAGGGTTCCCACTCCCCCACAGCCACAGCCTCCCGGAGCGGCTGCCAGACTCTTGGTCTTTAGTTACCCTTGCGCTTCCCTTGCCAAGTTGGAGGGTCGGAAATACTATATGGGGACACACTCAGTGCGCTGTTAGGAAGGGGACACATTGTAAACAACAGACGTTACCAAGCTTTTGGCTGTGAATCCATCCTCGCTTCCTTGGGTTTGGTTTTGTTGGCTCAGAGCTTCGCTCTAGCTTTCCACCTACAGATTACAGGCAAATCCCACTCCAGTAAGGGGACCATGAGGACCAGTGTCAGGAGTCACTGGATGATGATAAGGCCTCTGAAGGGGTTTGTAGTGAAGGTTGGGTGGGGTGAGGAGAAAGGGAGCTAAAAGAGATCTCACATTTAATGAGTATGTGCTATTAAGCTGAGGACAAATTATGATTATTACCTCGTTTAGTGCTCACTACAACCGTAATGAAGCGTAGGCTATTAGACCCAATTTCACATGTGCCTGATGGAGCCTGTATTGAACCCAGATTGGTTATGTGACTACACTAGTCAGCCATATATGTTTAAGATTAGTTCATGGGCAGCGCCGGTAGCTCAGTGAGTAGGGCATTGGTCACATACACCGAGGCTGGCGGGTTCGAACCCAGCCTGGGCCAGCTAAAACAACAATGACAACTGCAACATAAAAATAGCTGGGCGTTGTGGCAGGCGCCTGTAGTCCTAGCTACTTAGGAGGCTGAGGCAAAAGAATCGCTTAAGCCCAGGAGTTTGAGGTTGCTGTGAACTATGATGCCATGACACTCTACTGAGGGTGACAGCTTGAGACTCTTGTCTCAAAAAAAAAAAAAAAAATCAGCTCACCCAGGAAGGAGAAAATGGCTTCAATTTGGGACTTCATCATTCATCTCTCATCTCTATGAAACACCTGTAAGAGTTTTCAGCAGCTTCCTAGTATTTCCCTTCCTTCCTTTTTTTTTTTTTTTTTAGGGACAGAGTTTCCCTCTGTCACCCTCGGTAGAGTGCTATGGCATCACAGCTCACAGCAGCCTCCAGCTCCTGGGCTTGGGAGATTCTCCTGCCTCAGCCTCCTGAGTAGCTGGAACTACAGGTGCCCGCCACAATGCCTGGCTATTTTTTTTTTTTTTTTTGCAGTTTGGTTGGGGCCGGGTTCGAACCCCCCACCCTTGGTATGTGGGGGCGGTGCCCTACCCATTAAGCTGCAGGTGCTGCCCTTTTACTTTCTTCCTAATGGGAAGATCACCACTTAGGTTTTCTTACTATCAGGTGATCTTATTCTTTGTGTTAAGTCTTTTATAGACCAGCTTCTCTTAGCAGTGTGAAGAATTCAGAATAAGCTGTCTGGATTGTAGAACACAGAAAATATGTAGGACTGATTCTGGCCTTCTTACTGTCAGAAGTTCTGGAGTTTGCAAAGTATCTTGAGAGGGAGGACCCTCCTTTCTTACCTCACTTAACCTAATATGCTGAAATGCTGAGACTTCTCAGGGTCTGGGTTTCTCTGAACTGTTCTGAGTTAGGTATGTCCATGGACTAGGATTGAAAGACATCTGATTTGCTGGTGCTATGAATGGTACTAAATATCTTACCATTTGGAGCCATTGTCATGCTCAAGGATTCCTTTGGTTCTGAAAATTGTCTTCTTCGGGCATGTAGAAAAAGAACTAAGGGTCCTTTAAAGGGGGTTGGCCAGGGCTTGTTTAATTTCAGCTCTGCCTCTCCTTTGCCCTCCTTTCTAAAGCTGGTAGCCATGGATTGCATCAGAATATGCTGGCAGCCTGGAGGACAAACTTGAACTCTTTATGACAGATTCTGTTTGCCTAACAACAAGCTGCAAATGCCCACTTCTTAAATAACCCAACTATCTTGAGAAGTTACTTGTCATTTCATTTTCTTTTTTTTTTTTTTTTGAGACAGAGCCTCAGGCTGCCCCCCTGGGTAGAGTACTGTGGCATCACAGCTCACAGCAACCTCCAACTCCTGGGCTCAAGCGAGTCTCCTGCCTCAGCCTCCCAAGTAGCTGGGACCACAGGCGCCCGCCACAACACCTGGCTGTTTTTTGGTTGCAGCCGTTGTTGTTTGGTGGGCCTGGGCTGGATTTGAACCCGCCACCTTGGGTGTACATGGCTGGAGCCTTAGCCGCTTGAGCCACAGGTGCCGAGCCGTCATTTCATTTTCAAGCCTAAGTCAGTCTGGCTTTTCATTTCTCTAGTCAAAGCAGAGTGGGGTTCAAAGGACTGTTGGGATAATTCTCCCAAACCAGTTTTGTATGTGAGATGAGTTGTGTAGGGTTAAGTCTGTGGGGCTTAGCCAGAAGTTTGTTAGTTGGTCTTGTAGCACCATTCTCTGGTTTCAAAAGATTAAGGGTGAATAACCCTTTCTTTCCTTGACAGGCTGTGTAGAAGAGTGGTTACTAGTATAGGCTCTAAAGCCAGGCCCTCCTGGCTTAGAATCCTAGCCCTACTGCTTACCAGCTAGGTGATCTTGGACAGGTCTGCTTATCTTTGGGGGCCTTAATGTCTCTATCTGTAAAATAGGAAAAATACTAGTGCCTATCTCATAGGGTTGCCCTGAGGATTAAATGAGTTGACTTACGTAAAAGTGCTTAAAACAGTACCTGAAGGCTGGGTACAGTGGCTCATGCCTGTAATCCTATCAATCTGGGAGGCTGAGGTGGGTGGATTGCCTGAGGTCAGGAGTTGGAGACCAGCCTGAGGTAGAGCAAAATTCCATCTCTAAAATAATCGGGCATTGTGGCGGACACCTGAAGTCCCAGCTACTCGGGAGGCTGAGGAAAGAGGATCACTTGAGCGCAAGAGTTTGAGGTTGCTGTAAATTATGATGCCACAGCAATTTACCCAGGGCTAGAATGAGACTGTCTTAAAAAAACAAAACAAAACAGTGCCTGATATAACGTATTGTCTATTATTACTATTCCATTTAATAGCCTGCGGATTTTCACTCCCAAATGGATCCAGGCCTTTCCTCAAGCCCTAGTACAGCATTGTTTGGGGTATGGTTTACTAGACCACTAGTCTAGTAAAGTTGTTCTTTTATTTGAAGTGCCTTAAATGCTAGTGCTTATGATAGCTGTCCTTTGTGGCTTTAAAATTTTGGGGATATACTTACTTTTCATAAGGGCTAAGTATAGTATTTTTAGTCTGTCCTGAAGACAGTTTGTTAGAGTTTCTTTTTTCTTTTTCTTTCTTTTTTTTTTTTTGAAACAGAGACTCAAGCTGTCGCCCTGGATGGAGTGCTGTAGCGTCATAGCCCACAGCAACCTCCAGCTCGGGCTCAAGTGATCCTCTTTCCTCAGTTTTTCTATTCTTAGTAGAGATGGGATCTCGCTTTTTCATCAGGCTGGTCTCAAACTTGTGGGCTCAAGCAATCCATCCACCTCGGCCTCCCAGATGGGAGGGAGGACAAACTTGAACTCTTTATGAATTCAAGAGTGCTAGGATTACAAGTGTGAGCCACCATGCCTGGGCTTTTTATTTATTTATTTTTTTGAGACAGAGTTTCACTTTGTCCCCCTTGGTAGAGTGCTGTGGTGTCTTAGATCACAGCAACCTCAAACTCTTGGGCTCAAGCAACTCTCTTCCCTCAGCCTCCCGAGTAGCTGGGACTGTAGGTGCCTGCCACAACGCCTGGCTAGTTTTCTAGAGACAGGGTCTTGCTTTTGCTCAGGCTGGTCTCGAACCCGTGAGCTCAGGCATTCCACCCACCTCGGCCTCCCAGAGTGCTAGAATTACAGGTGTGAGCCACCGCATGCACCACACCTGGCTATTTTTAGAGATAGGGTCTTGCTCTTGCTTAGGCTGGTCTCAAATTCCTGAGATCAAGCAACCCACCTGCCTCGGCCTCCCAGAATGCTAGGATTACAAGTGAGCCACCATGCCCGGCCTTAGAATTTCATTTTTTGCTTCATATCCTTGTTATGTTTTCCCCACATTGGCCCATGTCTTGCATGGCTAGCTCTTACCAAAGTCCCGTAATAGGGGCACGTTGTGGCCCATCGGGAAGAGGATCGTTTTCCCTATTTTTCTACTTTCTCATTAGCTTTTCTGTCTTCACCGAACAGCACAGACATGGTTCGATGTGATTGCTTCACAGTCATTGCGTATTGAATATTACTGTAGATACAGATGAGATCTGTGGGGGTTCATTTGCTGTAGTAAATTTTAGATTGAGAGGACAGAGAAGCAGGCAGGGGAGAAGAGCACAGTGGAAGAGTAGAAGAGCATGGCTTTGTGTCCTGGCAGGTTTTAGTGGAACCCCGGTGCTTACAACTGTTGGCTTTGTCACTCCATTTTTCTGAACATCAGTTTTCTCCTCTGTAAATGGGAGGAGCTATTATTACCGTAAGCCTGGGCTCAGTGGCACATGCCTGTAGTCCCAATTACTCAAGGGGCTGAGGCAGGAGGATCACTCAGGAACAGGAATTTGTGGCTGTGGTGTTGCTGTCATCAGGCCTGTGATGACAGGCCACTGCACACCTGGGCAACATAGCAAGACCCCATCCCTGTAAAGAATAAAAAGTAATCATCCTAGACTGGTTTGCTGTGAGGGTCGACTGAAATCGCAGACATGAGGACCACCTGGTACATAGTAAGTGTTCATATTAGTTTCCTTCGAATCTTTACGTGTAGTTCTGAAAGTTTGTTGAACCCTTGAATAACAGTAGTTTAAATGAGTATTTGGCCTTCTCAACTTTTTATTTTGAGAAATTTGCAAGCTATAGAAAAGGTGACGGAGGGCGGTGCCTTTGGCTCAGTGAGTAGGGTGCTGACCCCATATACTGAGGGTGGCAGGTTCAAACCTGGCCCCAGCCGAACTGCAACCCAAAAATAGCCAGGCTATTTGTGGTGGGCACCTATAGTCCCAGCTACTTGGGAGGCTGAGGCAAGAGAATTGCTTAAACCCAGGAGTTGGAGGTTGCTGTGAGCTGTGTGATGCCACGGCACTCTACCGAGGGTGATAAAGTGAGACTCTGTCTCTATAAAAAAAGGAAAAAAAAGAAAAGGTGATGGAATAATACAGAGAACTATTGTAAAACTTGCATTAAAAACTTCACCAAGATGCACTGTTCACATTTTGCTGAATTTGCTTTAGTTTGGTCTCTTTATGTACCCTTTTTGGGGAAAGATTTGTAGGAAGTCACAGGTATTAGGATATTTTATCCTAGACTACTTCACTTTGTCTCTCATGAGAGTAAAGTTTTTTTTTTTTCAGTTTATTTTTGGCCGGGGCCGGATTTGAACCCACCACCTCTGGTAAATGAGGCGCCAGCGACTTACTCCTTGAGCCACAGACACTGCCCAAGAGTAGTTATTCCCGTATATAACCACAATGCCATTATTACTCAAGAAATTTAGGTTGCTTTTTTTTTTTTTTTTGATATAGGGTCTTACTCGATTGCCCAAGCTGGAGTACGGTGGCATTATCAGAGCTCGCTGCAACCTCTGCCTCAGCTTCCCGTGTAGCTGAGACTGTAGTTGCATGGTATTGTGCTGGGCTAATTTTTCTTTCTTTCTTTCTTTCTTCTTCTTCTTTTTTTTTTTTTTATTGTTGGGGGTTCCTCGAAGGTACAAAGAACCAGGTTATACTGATTGCATTTGTTAGTAAAGTTCCTCTTATAATTGTGTCGTTACCCCCAACTGGGCTAATTTTTTTTGTTTATTATGTGGAGCTAAGGTCTTGCTCTGTTATCTGGGCTAGAGGACGTTAGTATAGTTGTAGCTTGCTCATTGCAGCCCTGAACTCCTAGGCTCAAGTGATCCTCGCATCTCAGCCTCCTGCGTTGCTGGGATTATGGGTATTGGCGATCATGCCCAGCTAATTTTTCTTATTTTTTAGAGATTGAGTCTCACAGTGTTGCCCAGGATGTATGGTCTTACTTTAAAGAATGTTGAGGCTGTGGCCGGATGCAGTGGCTCATGCCTGTAATCCCAGCACTCTGGGAGGCCAAGGTGAGTGGATTGCTTGACAAGTTCACAGGTTCAAGACCAGCCTTAGCAAGAGTGAGACCCCCATCGCTACTAAAAAATAAAAAACTGAGGCAAGAGGATCTCTTGTGCCCAAGAGTTGGAGGTTGCTCTGAGCTATGATGCCATAGCACAATACCAAGGGCAACAAAGTAATGTTGAGGCTGGATGCAGTGGCTCAACCTATAATCTTAGCACTCTGGGAGCCCAAGATGGGAAGATTCCTTGAGCTCTGGAGTTTGAGACCAGCCTAAGGAAGAGCAAGGCCCTGTCTTTATAAAAAAATAAAAAATTAGCTGAGTGTGGTGGCTCATGCCTATAATCCCAGCAATGTGGGAGGCTGAGGCTGGAGGATTGCTTGAGCTCAGGAGTTCGAGGCTTGTCTGAGTGGGAATGAGACCCCAACTCATGAAAAAATTTGAAAAACCCAGCTGGGCGCCACAGTGAGCACCTGTAGTTCCAGTGGCTTCAGAGGCTGAGGCAGCAGGATGCCCACAGACTGACTCTGAGGTTCCAGTAAGCTACGATGCCATTGCACTCTGCTCAGGGCATAGGAGAGAACTCTGTCTCGAAAAAAAAAAATTAGCTAGACATAATGGTGGTCTCCACTCTCAGCTACTCAGGAGGCTGAGGCAGGAGGATTGCTTCAACCCAGGAGTCTGTGGTTGTGAACTCTGATGATGCCATTGTATCAGGAGACAGTGTGAGACCCTGTGACTGCTGGGCAGTTAAATTATTTGTGATTCAGTTTTATTCTTTCAAGTCCTGTTTTGTTTTTTTTTTTTTTT